AAAAACCGATCGCTCGAGAAGAGCTAGAGCCTCAGGGGAAAAGAAAACAAAAAAAGTTTTAGCAAGAGATTTTTATTGCAATAACAGATCACATAAAGATGCCACTTAACATTTGTGTTTATATTTATTTTTAAAACTTGAATGCCAACTTTATAGTATAATTTTAGTAAACAATCTGAATTGTTTCAACTAGAAAAATCATCGGTGATGCTAAACACAAGGGCAATGCTCTCATTAGTAAAGTGACACTGTGTATTGCATTGTTAGAGGAAAACAGTTCAGCAATAAAGGCTTACATAAGAATGGCAAACAGATTGAATAGCAGAGGACTGCATCACTTGCTGACTGGCATCACGTTCGCTGTTGCTGCTGTTTACTTCACTTCCGACTATTCAAGTAAATGCTTCCGGAGTGAAGAGCACTGATTTTGGAGGCCGGTGGTGGACTGTCAGTGTGAAGCCTTTCAATTAACATACACTTCCAGGCGGCGATTTATGTGCATGGCTCAACAAATAATCGATCAAAAGCGAGCTAAGCTTGCCAAGTGAGGCGAAATAAGTCTTTGTTTGCCCACTGCTACGACAATCATATTGTTGAAAGCCAAATTCAATTCGCGTAAACGACATGCACTCCCCTTTTCACCGTTTTTTGTCATCTAAATAGTGCCGAGACGACGGCAGTCAAATTAAACTCAACTCGTCCATACGCAATTAAAGATCAATATTTACAATATTATTCCATTTATTCATCGGTCCGAAAAATTGAAATTTACTGTCACAGGAAGGTTCGGTGAGAGGGAAAAGAAAGCACACATACTTCTTCCATTTTTGATGCATTGCATAAATTCAATTTGTAGGTGAACGAGCAAATTACGTAATAGCATAAATAATGAAAAATGATTAGACCAACGAGAAAAATAAAGGACAAGAAAACTGGTTAACAGTTCCACTGGAGAGTCCATCGAAAAGAATATTCATGTGTAAACAACGTTTTTTAAAAATAATGATACCTAAACTGAAAAAGCAAGAACGCATTCATTCAAACGATTTTAGTCAGTTTGCATTAAGATGAACTAGATTAGGGGTTTTATAATGAAAAACTATCTCGGCAAACAATCAAGCGTTTATTTTTGCAAGAAATTAATTGATTTTATTCATTCATGTAATGATTTGACAAAAATAAATTGATATTTCATGATTTCGCGAAGAGATGTGTGTTGTTTTAAATGCAAGTTGCAACTGTGTAACTAAACTACTAAAGAATTGTGCTTTCACTGAGGCTCCTTACATTCAAAAATAATATAGATGCTTAGAAATGTGCTTCTCAGTAAAGCTGCATTTGCCGTCCACATAATTGGAAGCAATGCTGTACGTAATTAGACCGTTTAGTATTACACTTTTGTAGTCGGTCGTAGGCTCTCTAAGATGAGCCGGCAAAGTCGTTTGGCATCTGACGCAGTTCCATCAGCTCCTTCTTGACTGCAAATAAATCGTCCAAGCTTCGAGAGCGCAAAACATTCCCAAGTGATCCCATATGATATTGGTTTGACAACTTTTTCAACAGAACGATTGTGTCCTGTGGCAATTTCGAAATGTCTTTCAGTAGACTCGCTTCGGTGTGAATTGCCCGAGTCATCTCCTCTTGAATTCGCTGTATCTGCTCCTCCTGCGAGAGAGCTGCGGGAAAACGTTTGTTGTTGCACCTAGTTGCATTAAATAAGGAGTAAAGCAGTTTAGAGCGATTTGATTATTTTTAATTTGTTTCAAAATAAATGTAAATAAACTTGGAAAAAGTTAACGGCGATTATAACCAATCATTGAAATTGATTTTTCTCGACTTGGAACAAAATCTCACCTCAATTTGTATCGGTCGATGTAGGCTTCTCGCTTGCCGAAGCGAAGTGGCTTAGGAATGTCAAGCTCCGAGCAAGGATCAGAGCTGGCCGCAACGGGAAGAATAAAACCAAATGATTTGGTAATTGATCCGCTCGAGTCGATTGAGTTGCCAATTGGTAGAATGCTTCCGCCAATGTCGAGGGACATCACTGCTACTGCAAACAGCAGTGCTTTGCTGCAGACACTGGTGCGAGAAGAGCGGAAGTCACGCAAACGAGGGGATGAAACACTTCGGCGGCGACAAAGCTCTCCTGACTTTGTCGATGAGCTGGTAGTCGGGAAAAGTGGCATCGTTTTCATCTTTGTACTGGATAGGTGTTGAGTTGAAGAAAACTAACTTTTTGCCGTTAAAAGTTTATCTTTCAAAAGNGTCGATGAGCTGGTAGTCGGGAAAAGTGGCATCGTTTTCATCTTTGCACTGGATAGGTGTTGAGTTGAAGAAAACTAACTTTTTGCCGTTAAAAGTTTATCTTTCAAAATTAGTGATTTTCTTACTGAGCAACTTCCAGAATGACTCCAGGAGATTGACGGCGTTGGTTTTTATTGCAATTCGGTTCTGCAGCGGTCAGGTAGTGCCGAGTTGATACATAAATCATAGGTTATAAAAAAAGCTCTGAAAAGGCATAATAAAAGTATAATTGAATTAAAATGTAATTTCATTGGTAAACATTTAGCAAAAGTCACACTTTCTTACATAGCTATTGACGTAAGTTCAAGTGCAAGTTAGTTCTGGACTTTCAACACAGACATGTCTGAGAAATTAGCTGTAGTAAAGAATTAAGGTGAAGAAATCCAGAACAAAAATGGGTAAATTGAAAAAGATGGTTGGAACTAGCCAGTGTAGTCCTATAAATAAACAGACGTGCTGTTGAGGACAAGTAATAATGGGTGGCATTAGCAAATTGGGAAAGAACGAACTGCTGTTTACAAAACTGTTGATTAGTATACGAATTTAATTTCACCTGACACCCTATACACTTTTTGTGACACTTTCTGATTAAATGAAAAGTCAAACTTCAAAATGAAAACTATCTTGGAATCAAATCCTATATAATTTATGCANGCTGTTTACAAAACTGTTGATTAGTATACGAATTTAATTTCACCTGACACCCTATACACTTTTTGTGACACTTTCTGATTGAATGAAAAGTCAAACTTCAAAATGAAAACTATCTTGGAATCAAATCCTATATAATTTATGCGCTTTATATTTGATTTTATAAAGTGTACAATAAACAATTTGTTTACTTATTTAAATTGTTCAATGTTTGCAATTTATTAGCATTGTCGCGAATGCTCAAACTTCCATTCAAGAAAACCAAAATTTTACTTTGTTCAAGTATTCTGTAAGAAAGTTGTTTGTTTGAACATGAAAAAATAGTCTTATCATGTAATGAACAAATAAAATATGACCGGAAGACAAGGATTTTCATTTTTCTCAGAGCTCTTGGCGAAAGGTATAACACAGCCATTTTTTATATTTATTAAATTATTTCCATACTACGCTTATAGTATCCAATTTACGTACAACATACTACTAAAAGGATTTCTATCTAATGCAATTTTCGTATGTTACGTCCTTACAAGCTAAATAGCACATTTTGAGACTATACAGGTGGCCAAAAATTGTGTCGGTTAAAACACGAAAAGGAACGATTACACGGGATTACTTCTAAACATATAAACGCTATCAGCTAAAAACTTGGAAACCAATCTAGTTCGCGAGTATACAAAAAATGATACTTGCGTCTTTTTCTAAAGCAGTGTTTTACATGTTTTACACAAAGAACACGGGCTTAGTTTGAAGCTAAATTCAAACAGAAAATGCGCCATTTTGCGTTGCTTTTAGTGTACCTTCAATTAGCGGCCATCGAAAATCAAAGCTTCAAATGTCCCTACATCAGCCGCTATAATGAATCACTGGAAATCGCCAATGTCTGCTCTTGCAGCAGTAAGCTCATTCGAATTGAGTGCCACAATCTGGGCTCCTTCCTTCTGGTGCCTGAGTACACTGACTTTATTCGCAGCTCGCTCACCTACGACCGCCTGCATCTGAGTAGTTTCCGCCTGTGCTACAACTTGAATTACAACACTAATCAGCAAGTACCTCTGGTGCGAATAGGGGCGCAGCTCATGTCCGAGTTGTGCTTCAGCAATATAATGATGGAGAAGTGCGACAACAAGGACACGAAGCCAATTCAGCTGAAACTGGATACGAATTTTCTCGAAATGCAAACAGAAACTTTGCATCGTCTGGAGATTGAGATTCCCATCGGTTCGGTTGAGAACAATGGCAGTGAAGTGCTGTTTGACTTGGCTGAAGCAGTGTCACTTCAGAAGCGACTCGAGTACCTCGTAGTTTGGATGGACGTCAATCTGTACCTGCACCTACCTGACCACTGGTTTGGCCAGTTTTCACCAGTCAGCGTTCTGGTGCCGATCGCCGAAATTATGCTGACAAATCATCACTTTCCAGGTGAGAGTGCACACAAGTAAAGTTTGCGACGTTGTTGTGACTAATTTGGCACTAACACTGTTGTTCACCAGAGAATGATCAAGACGTTAGCGACAACCAAGTTTTGTCAATTGGCTCATTTGCATTTCTCAACTTGAAGCGGTTACGTTTACTGACATTTCAAAACGTTCTTGTACGCCGTGTGGCAAAGTTTGCCTTTGCTGCTTCTAGCTCCATTTCGCAACAAATAACGATAAACTTCACTAGCTGTATCCTCACAGAGGCAAGCTTTGACCACGAATCCTTCATTGGCCTTAACCGAGATGCTACTGTCTTTTTCGCAATTGGAAATTCCGACCACTCTGTTAAACAGAAGCAAATGTTTGTGCTTTCAAAAAGCGTGTTTAGCAAATTTTTACTTGAAAATGCTAAAAACAAACTGGTAGTCGACTACCCCATTGAATGTAACAAAAAATCAGTACATAGTCAGCTAAAATGGATGTTTGAAACCAACAGCACACTCAACACTATGCAGATTGAAATGAAGTGCACTTCAGGCAAAAGCATCTTTCAGTACTATAATAACAAAACTTAACAAAGTAGTTTGTATTTAGAAACCACAAATCATATTCTGCGGTACAGCAATATCTGCAAGAGAAAGAAGATTATAGCTACTTGCATCATTTGACAGAGTAATTTTACCAATCAATTTAGGCAGATCCAATTTCAAATCCTTCATTATCTGAATGAACTCCTCTTGTGATTTGCTCAGTCTCGGATTATATCGCTTTTCCTCCCCAATCGTTGACATCAGATTTCCTTTAAATATTAAACAAGTGTGTCCTTTAGCTTATGAATTAAACTTTAAAACCCCTTTCAGTACCATTATAGTCGTGCGCCGGGAAGACGGACGTGTCTTCAGGCAGTGTAAACAGTGACTGGTGAACTGAAGTATAGAGTTGAGCGGAGTTGCCCTGTTGAAAGTCAGTCCGCCCACAGCCGCCGACCAGCAGACAATCACCAGTGAAGACAAACGCTCCTTCGGGACAGTAGTAGGAAACGCAACCGCTTGTGTGACCTGAACAGATGTTGCATTAGTGATGAACGCTGGTGATGGTGATGGTCGCCTGCCTACCTGGAGTGCTCAAAACGTGAAGCTTAATACTATCGCCGCACTTAATTGTGGATATTGTGGTTGTGGTTATTCTACGATATAATATAATATTTGTGCAATTAAATCACACAATACCTCAATGATGTCACCGTCCTTTACGTGGATATCTGCCTTGGCCTCACTCGCGCTCGATATGATACTCTCCACCACTGCTGGCTTTAGTAGCGTTTTTATCGCTCCACTTCCCGTGACATGATCGGCATGAACATGAGTATTGGCCACATATTGAAGCTGTAGAGCAGACAAAATGGTTATTCGGCAATCATCTACAGCCATTCGCAAAACACAAGTCATACATTCAGTTCGAGTCTTTTGAGCAAAGACAAATCACGATTGACGTGCTCCTTAACAGGGTCAATCAAGATGGCCCTTCGGGTTTTGTTGCATCCCAGCAGGTAAGTGTAAGTGCAGGAGACTCGATCAAATAGCTATTTAGATGATTCAGACAAAAGAAGTTTAGTTTATCAGTTAAATCCAAAAAATGATCATACCTGCCGAAATAAGATTGAAGGATTGCGTGACATTGTATGCGAACCAAGTGGACAGTAAGCAAAGCTTAGAAATGTCAACTGATCATCGCATAAAATGATGCTACATTGCAATACGGCTGCTGTCAGCATAAACTTGGCAACAAATGTTCAATCAAGTGTTTCACAGTTTGATTTTGGTACATCGTGTACCCGCCTTTTTTGAGC